AAATCTAATGCAAATGTTTTCCTATTCAATAGCATCTGCTCCTAAGTATAACTTTTATTATTAGTTTTATTCATTTATTTCCCGATTCTAAACATTTGTTATCTAATAAATACAAAATAGATAAATTAATTTGAATTTTCATAATAAACTATAATTTGAAATGCAGTTCAGTTTCTCCAGAATGAATGAAAATCATAATTTTAATATATCTATTATAATTGTCCAAATAATAGAAGTCTCACAATTTACAACAAAGTTAATAACTACTGTTTTTTCTTTATTTTAATCCTTAAATGTTTTCTGTTTAATAAAATAATTATTTTCATACATTATCTTTAAAATGTAAGAATTATTCAATTTCCCCATAATTTCTCATATAATCTGATTCTTAAAATATATACATCAATAGTAACTTCAAATAAATTTTAAAGCGATAGTTAGTAAATCGATATTTTATATTTAGTTTTAATTGTTTAAGTTTGAAATGTTGAAGAAAAAGTTATATTTTACATGTAAAGTGGTAGTAATTTGCAATTTTTAAAAGTAAATATTATTTTTAAAACTAATGATGTACTGCTGTAATACTGTATTTAAAACTTTAATTTTAATGACAAATTGGTATAAAAAGTGAAATATAATGAATAATTATATGATATAAAGAAGAAATGTATGAAAATAGTAAAGTGAACGCAGAATAGAGTGAAAGTAAAGGAAAGGGAAGAGAATGAGATTCTTGTGTGGAAAGGGAGTGAGAGGTGTCTGTAGTGTCGTCTATGAGAAGGTCTTCAAGTTGTGGCAAATCCTCGACAGTATTGAAGGCACTGAAGGAGCTCACAATTGTATGATTGCATAGAGTGTAGGGAAGTGTAGGGAAGTGTGAGACAACACTCACAACAGAGTCAACACAACTCTTATGATGGCTTTCGGGCCAATCCATAGCACATCCAATGAATTGGTGTTCAATGACAAGTGTATGACCGAAGAACATCCCTCTGACTCTAATTGTGATTATAATGATAATCAGTCCAAACAATATCGTTGGGGACCCAATCATGTCGGCGCTAAACAATTGGCACGACTTTATACCAATGGTTAGTCTTATGTTCAATACTTTACTATTTATAACATTATTCTTACACTTTATGTATTCATGTATTCATTAGTTTGAAATATATTTTCCCTTTCATATTTTATTCTGTTTAAAGTATTAAGCAACTTAAATGAGTTTAATTGACTTCACTTATAACTAGCTAACTTGTAGCTGCCCAGGGTCTACCGGTTCTAACTGTATATTTATTCCTATGCGTTAACCAATATTTTATTCTGTTTAAAGTATTAAGCAACTTAAATGAGTTTAATTGACTTAACTTATAACTAGCTAACTTGTAGATGCCCAGGGTCTACCGGTTCTAACTGTATATTTATTCCTATGCGTTAACCTAAACTGAAATAAAGTGAAGAATCATAATTTCCTAATGATTAGCAAATATAGCAGTGATAAACTAGCTAACTTGTAGCTGCCCAGGGTCTACCGGTTCTAACTGTATATTTATTCCTATGCGTTAACCTAAACTGAAATAAAGTGAAGAATCATAATTTCCTAATCATTAGCAAATATAGCAGTGATTACACTGTTTTCAATGTTTTGATTTGTCATTGCATTCACGCCACTGTAACATTGAAAACATTGATCCAAATTGATTTCAATTGATCTAGATACTTTCTACCTTTACTCGCATACATTGCGCATAATTGGATCAATGCATTGCATTTGTTTTATACTTTTATGTTGTTATTTTTTGGTTTTTATATTTATTTATATGTACTGTATTTTGTCTGAAGTTTATATCGTTAGGAAAATGGTTGCAAAAAAGCTTTTAATACAGAATTAAGTTATTAAATATTGAATTAAGTTTTTTTTGCCGAATATAGCTATCATTTTATTTATTTGTTTCAACAAAACTTGTTTCTCATAAATATAATTATAATTAATGTTATATTTTATTAATAGTAATGACAAAACAGTTAAAGTATTTTCATTTTAACTCAATTTTTTCATAACTTATTCTGTAACTTAGTTTCGTATCAAATATATACTGTCTAACATAATTTGAAAAGTTTTATTATAGTAATTTTATGTCACATTTTATGATCTGAAAATTCGTAAAATTTATATTAAAAAGCAAAACGAAAATAAAGATTTTTTTAATTAAGACTTTTACGGCAATCGGAGTTATATTAATATTTTGGCTCAATTTACGTGTTATCCGAGTCTTATGGTGTAAAAAAAACGTAAAAATAATTTCTAAAATGTAACTAAAAGTCAAATAAGTGACACATATTTCAAGCATTTTGTTGGTAAAGCGAGAATAACTGAGAATTTGGTGAGTGTTTGGTGAGGAGTGGCAGCTCTGGCAGTCCCACAGCCCTGGCATCTCTTCCCTCACGGATCTATGTTTAGAGTTTTTGCCAAATCCGAGCGCTTTTTAGATTAAAAAATAGTTTAAACACAATATATTGCTGTGAATTTTATATATAAGTAGCAAATCGTTTGGATAGTAATATAAGCGAAGTGTATATCTGGAGTGACACAAGAGTTTCCAGTGTGCAGTTCTCTTGCCAGTAATCATATGTTATATAACCATGTATATATATGTATTATATATGTTATATGTTATATTTATAAAACCAAACACTCATCAAATATTAAACTCTCATAAAACCATTCATTAAATACATTGCAAAATAAAACCTTTCATCACATCAACCGAAACACAACTTTTTTTGCATCAATTCTTAGTGTTTTTAATACATTTATTTAATACAATTTTTATTTTTTACACTACAAACAATTAATATAATTGAAAAATATATCAAACATACAATGTCTTTCATTGCTTGTACACACGTTGGGTGTGTATCTGTTAGCAATAATATATGATTTTATATTTTACACATAAAATTAGATGTTATGCATGAGTATAGACTGTAGTTATTCTGTGCTCTGAAAGCCTAGTTTAACAGAATATGTCACGAGTATTAAGATTGAGAATCTGATGACTTGACTCAACCCATTATCTAATACTAATATCTATTATTTTTTGCCTGTAACTCATTTATGGATATTATTTATAAATGTGATTATAAATTTGTTTTTATTTTTTTAATGATTAGGAAAACGAATTCAAGAAATAATTTGCATAATAATAGGAATTATTCTAATATTAATAAATTTTTTATATTTGATATATTATTGTGATTCGTCCAAATGGTGTTCAATAGTGTTCGCCGCCTGTGAGTATAATATTTGAATTAACCACAAGTTTTAGTAAATGTTATCCAGTAACTAATACTACTTGATTTGATGTGATTATAGTTTGCGGTATAATTTCTGCCGATTTTTTGAGTGGTTTAGTCCATTGGATGGCCGACACATGGGGTTCAGTGGAGCTGACAGTTGTGGGCCAAGCATTTATCCGACCATTTCGTGAGCACCACATCGATCCGACCGCTATTACCCGACACGACTTCATTGAGACAAATGGTGATAATTTTATGGCTATTATTCCCGGACTCGTCTACTTATTATACTTTTTCCGTTCAAATGAATACAAAATTATTTGTTTGAATTATAATTGGATTTGTTATCTCTTTTTACTCGCAATATTCGTTGCGATGACTAATCAAGTGAGTGATCCCGAGTATTTTTCTTATCAGTCAATCGTTGTAGCATTTTATGAATTATTTTTGTATCTTTTTTAAACTCCTTTTAAGTCATGTCTATTAATAATCATATTTGAGTTGTATATGAAAACATAAAGCATACCAAATATGAAACTAAATAACATTAGTGTTTATTCTACAGATACACCAATTGTCACATATATACGGCCCGTTACCTGTTTGGATACTCTTCCTACAGGTACTCAAACTTGATTTGACACCAACTCAGCATTTGTTTGCAAATGTATACTAATTGTTGTATTGTTTGTACGCATATTAATGACTATACGGACAGGACATGCATATAATCCTTCCCCGAAAGCACCACAGAATACATCACATCTCACCCCACGAGACATACTTCTGCATAACGACAGGTTGGCTCAACTTTCCACTAGAGATCATACACTTTTGGTCCGCACTTGAACTCATCATCCAATCCATCACTGGATGCAAACCACGATCTGACGATCTCAAGTGGGCTCAAAAGGGGTTGGGAGCCCCCACTCTACCAAACACTCTCAACCATATAGAACAAGCCATTCCTTCTCATTGACTACATTAGAGGACCACTTATTTATTAATTTTTTAGATTTTAAATCAATTGCAATCATTCATTTACTAGACACACACACTCTCAAGTGATTTAACAACATTTCTATCACTTTTCGTATCTATTATTGAATTTAGTTTAAATAATTTATAGTTTATAGACTGAACATTGAGTTCCTCTTTTTAATAGTAATCGAGTCACAAGTTTTGCATTAATTAAATGCAGAAACTATTAAGTAATTAAAAGTCAATTTATAGACTTCAGGGATAACTATTTTGACCATTACTCCAATACATGTTATATAAGAATTAAGTACAGTATTATCAAAATTATTGTTTTCAATCGACTAGCTACAATATTTTTAAATTATACATTTATTTAACTATTCATTCGTTTTGATGTTTTTTAATCAAATATTTCTTTTAGACGAAACATCGGTTTTACTACAAATTGCTTTTTATTTTTATACAATTGATTGAAAACAATACTTTTGATAGATTTATTTCTTATATATTGTGATTTGAAATCTGATAATCTGATTGATATATTCATACTGTATTTGAAACTTATATTCAATTCAATCGAATATCACTATTGCCATTCATTTGTGCCTCAATTAATGCATTCATGTTATTGTATTTGTTATGTTTTTGCAAAACATTTATCAAATA